GTACAACCATGCCTTAACTTCAGATGTCGTCTGAGTGTCAGATCTGGATATGTAAACCCCAGCCCTGCCACGCGGTAACTCAGAGCTCCTTCCTCAGGACTGAAACCAGGGTCACAATCATGCTCACCTTGCAGTTGCTGGGAGGACCCAGTGTGCCACCCCTGAAAAGTGCTCACCCCAGCCCCCAGAACATAGGTGCTGGCTGCCCCACCTGGACAAGCCGAGACTGACTCAGGCCTGCCCGCTGGGAGCCAAGATCCTACTGAGTGCTTCGGGCAGCGGCAGGATGCCACTCAGCTAGCACCCCATGACAGCGCAGTGTGACTCAGCCTTCCGGAGCCCGGGTAAGCGCAGCAGCCCCTCCACCCGCACCTGCCCCGTGCTGTGCCTCCGCCAGTTTCTGTAGCACAAGCATTCTGGGCACCACGAACTGAACGAGGGAGGCATGAGAAGGGAGCATAGCCCCTGCTCTGAAGAAGCTCATGGTCGGGGGTGGGGGTGGGGGCGCAAATCAATCACCAGGACTGTAATGCACGATACAGGTGGGAACACCAAAAAAGGGTGTAGGGTACCAAAAGGTGCGCCTGGGGATTCTCCCTGGCAAGGGGAGCTTTTGTGGATGAGTGTCTGCCAGGTGCACGGGGGCAGGGGAGGGAGGAGACCCAGGCAGAGAAAACAGCACAAAGGTGAAGAGGCCCCACGGTGCAGATGGGCATGGTGCTTTCCGAACCACAGAAGTCTAGGAAGACTGGAGCGTATGGGGGGAGGCACATGCCAGGGTCAGGGTCCACAGCATGACGGGGCCTCTGAAGACCAGACTAAAACCTGGACTTTATAAAGGGGACCCCGTGTAGTCTGCAACAGGGACTACTTGCAAGAGATGAGGGAGGCAGCGGGAGGCCGCACTGACAGCAGGAGAGGCTGCTGCCACAAACGGAACGACCGAGAGGCCGAAATTTACATTCTCCCCAAATCTGTGTTGAAGCCCTAACCCCAATGTGACTGAACTTGGGGATAGGCTTTAAAGAGGTAACTGAGGTTAAATGGAGTCATAAAAGTGGGGCCCTAATCCAATAGGACTTGTGTCCTTATAAGAGACAGAGACAGCAGGGATATACAGGCACCGAGGAAAGGCCACGTGAGGCCACGGTGAGAAGGGGCCCGCCTGCGGGCTGAAGGGAGAGGCCTCAGGAGGCATCAAGTTTGCCAACACCTTCATCTTCGGCTTCCAGCCTCCAGAACTGTGAGGGAGTAAATTTCTGTTCTTTTAGCCCCCAGTCCGTGCTATTCTGTCAGTCCTACAAAACAGTGCACTTGGCAAATGGCAGGCACCATCTACTGCCCGAGTAGAGCTGGAGCGCAGCGCGCACAGAGGCGCACGGCCGGCAGAACGAGTGGAGGCAGATTTGGGGGTTATGAATAGATATGGAACCATGGGAATGGGTCACAGAACCTATGGGGAGCGTACAGAAGTAAAATAAGAAGGTCACCATGGAAGCCTAGCAAACACCTACAACTAAGACCAAAGGAAGGGATGCTCCTGAAAAAAATCTGGAACAGGCAGGGGGGCAGGGAGCACAGGGCAAATCTAGAGATGGGCCATGAACACGGAGAGAACGCTTAAATAAGTGGGCTCAACAGTGCCAACTGTAACATAAAGACGACGGCAGATGAAGACTGAAACGATCAAGGAGTTGGAGATCAGAGGTCTCCTCGACAAGAAATCCATCAGCAGGTGGCTGGCAGGAGGCGGCATGCGGCAAACAATGTGGGTGTGAGGAAGGAAGTAGAGACGGGGTAGGCAACCCTCCAGCAGGACTGTCGAAGAGAAAAAAGGTGGTGGCTGGGGACATCAGGTTCAGGGAGAGTCCCTGCAAGTATACAATTCCTCATCACACACAGCCTTTAAGAGGAGAGGCGACGGAGGCAGAAAACTCTGGGGACGAGAGAGGTGGATGGATACGGCACAGGCGGACAAATTACACTCACGTGGAAGGAGGGCCGTCCTTTCCACTGTGACAAGAACAAAGGCGGTAAGGCTGGGAGGCGGAGAGGCCCCGGTGTTCTCTTTCCACTACAAAGCCGGAAAATACAGTCTGCCGCTGAGAGTGAGGGGTGACGGAATACGCTGCTTCAAGAGAACAGCGAGACTCGAACAGCTGTAGGCCATGAGCGTGCGCTGCAGCGGGACAGACGTTGGGACGGCCCACCAGCTCCGAGGACCTGGTTACCTTTAGACACAAGCGTGCAGCGGCACCACCTTGCCGTCGTGGAACTTCCCCAGCAGCAGTATGAGGTGCTGTAAGAATTCTCGATCTCTTTAGATTTTCCTTGTGTTTCTCTGCCCATTCTAAGATTTCTTCAGGGGCATCCCCCTCTTCCTTTATTTTTATATTTTTTAACATTTAAAAAAGTTTTTTATTTCTTATTTATTTTTGGGAAAAGCAGTACATGAGTAGGGGAGGGGCAGGGAGAAAGAGAGAACCTCAAGCAGGCTCCATGCTGTCAATGCAGAGCCCATTGTGGGTAGGGCTCGAACTCATGAAACTGCTGAGATCATGACCTGAGCCAAAATCAAGAGTTGGATGGTTAACCAACTGAGTGATCCGGGAGCCCCTCTCTCTTCCTTTAGAGTCTAGCCAGGGGTGTTGCTAGGGTCCTGTGGGGATCTTCTTTTACTTACATACGTTCTCCGTAAGTTCTATGATTCACTCCCATTACATACATTCTCTGTAAGTTCTATGATTCATTCCCATTTCCTGCGACTTGACAGTCCAGGAAGGTGAGGAACTAGATGAATGCATAGAGGGGTCTGGCTAGGGAAAAGCTGTATAAGGACAGGCATAAATGACCCCAAGAAGAGCTGGGCTGCACCCTATCTTTCCTTTCCCCATCACTTACCGCCTTGTGGGTTTCATCCTTAACCAAGAACAACAGTTCTCATCTCTAAAATACCCAACATTCCCTTTTGATAATAAACAGTTACCACACCCACCTTTACCATCCTGAGGTCAAGTCACACATAACCTGCCTAACAAACATAAAGTTTAAAAGATCCTTTTTAAGGTCCTCAGGATAACGTAAAGAAGATGCAAAGTGCAATTTATAATAAAAAATAGATTTCAATCTGTAAGTCTCAAGCATAACTACAAGAAAAGACTTAAGGAAGCAGTCAGATGCTCGTAGCTGTATACAGAACCCCAGGAAGACACCAGTATAATCACAGAATGACCAAAGCATGCTATACTCAAAACTCAAATTACAGGAGTCCTTCAGGCCCAGTAAAAATCAATCAATTTTCAAAACAATGTTTGAAGTCTCAGGGTGTTAGACTATGACTCTAACAACCAGAACGTGGTATGGTTTCCAGCAACCAGCACATCAGACAGAGAAGACAGCAAATACGCAGCATATCACAAGCTGCTATCACCTTAGATTCTTTGGTCACCACCCCATTTTCTAAGGCTCAAAAGCATGGGGTGAAAGAGAAATCTACCATCAGTGGTGGTCGTCTCACATTTACAACATAGGAACGGCCTGTACTGGGGGCTCTGACCACCTCCCTGCTGTTTCCCAGGTAGGAACCAGAATGCGTCCCATGTGGACAGTAAAGACCAGAGGACTTCAGGAAGTGAACAGCTTAGAAAGAAGGTAGGTAGAGGCACTGCTGCCAGACTGACTCTGCTTCATGCTGCGGTGTCTCCCACCTCAGATGCTGCCTTGTTGATGAGGACGCTTCTTCTAATGCCATACGTTAAAACTTTCTGATTATTTCAGATCAAAGCCCAGCCATCACAGCATGGCAAGTGGAGAACCCAACAGAGCAACGAACATCCCAGCTTTTCCCACAATTCTTGGGGACCCACCACCATCCTCTCTGCGACCTTACCAAGTGGCTAAGTGGGTTTGGGAAGCAGAGGCTGTGGGGTGTTTGGTGTCAGTTAAAACAAGATGAGCCCCCAGAGGAACAAGGAGGAAAATGACGCCAATGGTCCATCTGGGGAGCAGACTAGTTTCAGTATATGTGCTGCTGATGCGAGCACTGGGGAGCAGATGCTCAACTAGAACATACCACAGAGAAGATGGCAGATGTACGACTCGAGATCTAGGAGTCTGTCTGCCACCTTACATCAGGGTACTTCAAGTCTCTGGGTCGCCATTTTCTCATATGGAAATTGAGGATGACTGTAGTAATACTCACCCTTTACCAGCCTGAGGAGATGGAGTAGAAGGTACTCAATGGCTTATTGTATATGAAGACACTTCATACAGCACCTCACAAAACGTGTTCTAAGCGCTGCCATTACTATCTTTAAGGAGGCAAACAGCAGACCCGTGAAGGTGAACCTAGAGCTCCTTATGGCCCCGGGGCAAACAAGTGGTCACACATTTCACACAAGTCAAGCCACGCTTCCTAGTCTACTTGCCAGTGGGAAAGATAAGGCTGAAAAGACCACTTGCCGTGACCGACAGTGCCTATTTTGGGTCCCGAAAGAATAGCTGTAAAAGCCTACAAGGCTGGGAGGTGTTTTTGAGAAACAGATGCTTCCAAAAATTTCCTCAACATGTGTTCCCCTGGCTGTTACCAAGAACTTGGTGAGATCAGTGCGGGAACAGGTTTCCTCACTCGGGCCTTTTCTGAGACCTTAAAAATGAATTTGCAATGAGGATGTGGGATGGAGGATGTGCCGTATTTATTTAATAATGGAACCCCTTTTCCACAGAGCATCTGTCAAGGGGTTTTGGGAACATACTTTAGGAATTAAACTCTCCAGTTGGGCACAGGATTATATGGGCACACAGACCAGCTGAAAAGGGAAACAAGAATACTTTGCTGACATTCAATCCAACAGACAACACCTGCTGGATAGTTTGGAGAAGGCAGAAACCCATTTTTTAACCTCAGCACTGACATAGCATCACATTTTCCCTGAACCACCCTAACCCCAGACCCTCAAGATCCACCGGCCACACAACCCCACACTCCACAGTCACATACATTAAATCTACACCTTTATTTTTTGTTCTAAAATGTGCTTTTACTCTCAATGAACTTGAATAAGTCAGTCCAGGACCTCCACCTCCCCTTTAACAACAACAACAACAACAACAACACACGCACACATACACGCACGCCACCCTCCAACCAGGTGAAAAATCTCCGGCGATTAGTCTATAACAAATATTGACACAAGGGGAAAAAAAGCATGTTGAAATGTATTAGAATCAGAACCTGTACAAAAAAAAAAAAAAATTAAAATATAACCTGAAACAGTCAAGTTCAGAAAGGCCAGTCAAGTCCTTTTCTCTTGCCAGGAGAATGCCGTCATCAGAGGGCTCTGGGTCACCAGCCAAGGAGGGGTGGAGAGAGAGAGACAGAAGCAGCAGCAGGTCCTTCCCCAGACAGAGGGGCCTCGGCACCGCCATCCCAGCACGGACACAGCTGGGAGGGACTACGGATCTCGGGGGAGCACGTGTCTGCAGACAGTCCTGGGCGGCAGTCTGAGTGGTCAGGGGCAGCAGGCAGCGCGGCCAGCAGAGGACACCAACCCGGAAGAAACTTCTGCCACCCAGCAGACCCACTGCACCCTCCACTGGTGCTCAGATTCCAGAGGTTAGTGCTCCCAACGAATGAGAGGTTGGAGCTGGGCTTAAGAGGCTGAAAACCCGCAGGTTTAGTAAACATGGCCCAGCATCGCATCCCTCCGTGGCCTGATCGGAGCTGCCAACAAGGGATAAGGCAGGAGAGGGAAACAGAGCATTTGGGACCTGGCCAGAGATCACCTGCACCAGTGTGGGAACCGTGGCCCCGGGGCTGGAGAAGGCACACCCCCGTCCTCACGGAGAGGGGCCGCCTTCGCAGTCATCCCTGCGGGCCGCTAAAGCTGCCTCCCAGCTCGTGACCAGCCTGACAAAATGACATGGAGCAAAAGAAAAACTGGGAGGGAGACAAGCCCTTACACAGAGACGAGAACCTCCTGGAGGGAAGCTGGGCAGTGTCTGACCCTGGTGGGATGGCATCAGTGGAGCCCCTGAGTCTGAAGGAACTGGGGGAGGAGAGAGGGGGTGAGGGAAGGATTAACGGTTCTTCTGGAACAGTACCAACAGGGTGGGAGGCGCTGGTGAGGGGACGGGCAGGTCTGGAACTCACTGAAGGTAGAGAGGGGAGGAAATAGGCCCTTGGTGTCCCCTCCCCACCCGACCCAGGCCTGGTGAGTGCCAGCTGCCCCAGCCAACCCTAGTGGCGGCTGGAGACCAGACCTTTCACTTTGGACATCTTCTTGGTGGGCTGCCTCTGCTCGGCGTGAGGGGGACACTCCCGTTCAGCCAACTGTTGCTCCATTTCCTGAGCCGAGGAGGAGGCGGTGGCTTTGAGCGTCTTCTTAATGTTGGTAACCTAGAGGGACACACAGGATTAGTGTGCTCAGCCCGCGGGCGCCAGAAACTCACTGAAACCTGTTCTCCCTGTACTGGGGGCCACCCAGGGAAGAAACCAGAATCCTCTGCAAGAAAATTGGACATTACCTTCAGAAATCCAGATGAGGAGAAACAAGCAGGGGCTACTCACAAAAGATACGTGGAAATGAGTCAAGCAAAAAATGAAATTAAGGCTTTCCTGGTTGAAAAGAGGGAATAGGGGCGCCTGGGTGGCTCAGTGAGTTAAGCGTTCGATTCTTGATTTTGGCTTCGGTCATGATCATGCTAACAGCATGGAGCCTGCATGGGATTCTCTCTCTCCTCTCTTTCTGCCCTTCCCCCTGCTCATTCTCTCTCTCAAAGTAAAATAAACTTTAAAGAAAAGAGAGAGAGAGAGAGAAGAAGCCAGTGGAAGTGGGCCATTTGACAAAGAGGGACAACACACCAGGTTAAAACGGCCTTAGAAACAAAACAGAGGTCCTAAGAATGCAACAGTCAGCTCATCCCTGTTCATGGAGGAAACTAAAAATACTTTCACAGGAACTTTGGGAATACAGCTCCATGAGGCTTCTTGAATAAACAACTAGAGGATGGATAAAATTCAGCCAACCAAGTGACAAATGATGAAAACATAACAAAAGGCCTGGCAAACATGATGACACCGGATTTCAGCATACCTTTCTTCACTTAACAAAGGAGGGCTCAAAAATATTTAAGCAACTTCTGATCATTTTCCACTTTGGAATACGTATCCTTTGTGTACTGTTATTAAGAACATTCTACGATTTTGAAAAAAAATTTTTTTAATACGTATTTATTTTTGAGGGAGAGACAGAGTGCGAGTGGGGGGAGGAGCAGAGAGAGAGGGAGACACAGAATCCCAAGCAGGCTCCAGGCTCCGAGCTGTCAGCAGAGCCTGACGTGGGGCTTGACCTCACAAACAGCGAGATCGTGACCTGAGCCAAAGTCGGACGCGGAACCGACTGAGCCACCCAGGAGCCCCTCTAACGTTCTACAATTTTTAAATTAGTTCCCAATTTGCTTTTCACGTAGGTACAGCGTTGCTATGAACAGTCTTCTATGTTTACCTGTTCGTACTTTTGTGTCCAGCTCTGGAGGGCATATTCCTAGAAGTGAGCTTCCCAGATCAAAGGGTTGGCACATTTTACATTTTAACACCTATCGTTATCTCGTGGAGACAGATTGTACCACCTTGTACCCGTGCCAACTGTGTCCTCCTGGGCCTGTTTATATACACATTCCCCACCACCCATTCTTCAAGACCTTTTATGCTTTTGCCCTTCAGGCACATGAGAGGAAGAAAAAGGGGAGGAAAAGCATTGGAAGGAAGAAGAGAAAGTAGAGGTGCTTCCCCAGTTTGACGGCCCCCATGTTCTCTGGGAAGCAGGCCTGGTTTTCTATAAAGAAGGGAGTTGTCGGGGTCACAAGTCCTCAGTAGTGAGACTATCAGGAGCGTGGGTAAGAGGCAGTTCCTGCACAGAGATGAAACCACACCGTGACTGAGGCCAACGCCAGGGTCTTGGAGGTCTATCGTGTGCAGAATAAGCCCTGACAAGATTAACGCTCACGGTTTACTTTGGATTTTGTTGTTGTGTTGCAATGGAGAACAGCCATGCCCTAAACTCATGTCACCCCAATCAACATTATAACCTTTCTGAAAGGAGGGTGAACAGAGGACTGTGGGCTGGGACAGTGAAGACAGAGGGCAGCCTAAGTCAAGTGTGGCTTCATCTTGGGTCCAGTCAGTCTATGACACGCCATCTCGAACCCCAGGCACCCCACCTCCCAGGGGCTCGCTGCCTGCTTTGGGGTCTCTAGTTCAGGAGAGTTACCTGGGGAAACAGTAGAGAAGAATCTGAAGCAAATGGCTGGCTTACCATCTTTATGAAAGAGATAATTTAGGTTTTGTTTGTTTTACTTCAAGGCGTATTTTGGCTGCCAAGGTAGGCCCACCAGCTAAACCTGTTTTGGCCGCATGGAATAATCAGGACAAGTCTACTTCCTCTTTCACAGAGTCTTCAAATATGACAACTATCCCCAAGGACTTGTCTTCTTTGGCCTAAACGTCTCTGGCCCCTTCTAATTTTCTTTGAATAGCTAGCTTGCAGGCCATCGCATATCATGACCCCAGATGACCTAGAGTTTGTCAAGCCCTTCAAACCATGAGCCTCAGGAACTTTCACATGGGACTGCACCCGCTAGCAAGACTGCAGCCTAACTCCATCACAGACCTTAAATATTCAAGCAAATAGAGCAAGAAGAGCCTCCTGGGGGAGGAAAACTTTTGGCTGTGGGGCAAAGGTGGACAAGATGAGGCAAAGTCAGAGCTGGGAAGGTCAAAGAAGAGGAGAGCAGGGAGGTGGTGAGAATGACCCTCCAGGAGGGAGTAGGGGCACCCTGTACCCTGGTAGCCACCAAAGTCAAGCTCCAGACTAACTTAACCCCTGGGATTCTCTACAGAATGGAAAGCAGCTTACTTTGCCTAATTATGGTTTATCACCTACATGCCTGGAACATAGCCTGTTTTGTGAATGTAGCAAGAGATATATACCACAGATATTCCACAGAATGTCAGACATGAGCACATTCAAATGTAAAGAAAGATACATTCCGAAATCAAATATAAATGAGAAGTTATTTTGTGAGGCTTTAACTAATCATCACCTCCCCTCCAGAGTGTTTGCTCGGAGATAAGGAAATAGCTCACAATGTTACTGTTCTGTATCCCCCAGGTATGCTGGAATTGTAACTAATATGCATCACTTCTGTGAAAGGCTGAAAAGAGAGAAGATTCCTAAGCAGTTTATGATGGGACTGACTTTATTAATAGGGATGGCTCTCAAAGTTAATATTCACCAGAAAAAAAGGTGCTGCTGTAAGATTTGGGGGAAAAAAACATCAAGTTTTTCTCTCTGAGAACAAGTAACCTAATTTAAAATAAAAGATCAACTTAGTTATGGGGCGCCTGGGTAGCTCAGTCAGTTGAGTATCCGGCTTTGGCTCGGGTCATGATCTCGGGATTCAGTTCATGGGTTCAAACCCCATGTTGGGCTCTGTGCTGGTGGCTTGGAGCCTGGAGACTGTTTTGGATTTTGTCTCCCTCTCTCTCTGCCCCTTCCCTGCTCATGCTCTGTCTCTCAAAAATGGACAAACATTAAAAAAAAAAAGTGATCAACTTAGTTGAGAAAATGGCTTAAAAAGTTGGGTTAAAGGTAACAGAAGCATATATACCAGCAGAATATGACAGAATTACACCTTCATTCTTAGTAGATTTGTCTTCTTTTCTAGTCAACAAACTGGGATGCCTGGGTGGCTCAGTTGGTTAAGTGTCCTACTCTTGATTTTGGCTCAGGTCATGATCTCATGGTTTCTGGGACTGAGCCCTATCAGGATGGAGTCCGCTTGGGATTCTCTCTCCCCCTCTCTCTGCCCCTCCCCTGCTCACTCTCGCATATGCTTGCACTGTCTCACTCAAAATAAAAAAAAAAAAAAACAGCTAGCCTTCCATGCGCCTTAAGCTGGGGAAAGATCAGCATCCTACACTTGGTAACCAGATTATGCATTTATTAAAGGGAAAACTGACAAGGCTCTGGGTTTTGACCATGTTCCTTCTCTCCTCATACTGGTCTGTTCCAGGTTTTCTAAAAGACTGTTAAGTAATCAGTCTGTTTTAATTGGTGGTGGAGATAGCCTTGGTATTTTTTCAAATTTCTCTCAAAATTTAAATTATTGCCGCCACCTGGTGGCAGCATCAGGCTCTGCCAGCAAGGGTAACCACAGCTGTGGTTTTCCAACAAATCCATGTGCACAAGCTCTTTTTTTTTTTTTAATGTTTATTTATTTGAGAGAAAGAGAAAACGACTGGGAGAAAGGGGAGACAGAGAGAGAAAGAAAGAGAGAGAATCCAAGCAGGCTCGCTGCCAGTGCACAGCCTGATGTGGGCTCCATCTTTGCAAACCCTGAGATCATACCCTGAGCCAAAATCAAAAGCCAGACGAGTCACTGACTTAGCCACCCAGGTGCCCTTTTTTTTTTTTTTTTTTTGGTTTTGTTTTAATAACCATAATTTAAAGAGCCCCCACTGTTCTCAAGTATCGGTCATGCCTCAACATTAGTCAGTGCTTTCTTTCATCAGATGCCATTTGTCACAAAAGTAAACTTGAACCATTCAAAATTCTAAAGTTATTATCATTCATTTTTACCAGTGACCACACTCTGAGCCCAACACCTACCATCCTGTCAGCAATGGTCTGGGCACAACGGGGCAGCCAGCAGTGACCAGCCTCTTCCCAAGCTACCAACCAGGTGGCATCTGGTCTGCTTCACACAGGCCACCCCACATCAGGGGGGCACGTTTCACCTCCAAACCTCATTTGCTTCCAGGGTCTGATTTACCAGGAAGAATGAAGGCTAGGAAAGCGTGCACAGCCCCTCCTACTTTGCTGAGATATCATTCCCAGCTCAGAGAAGAGGCCACCATATTCAAGAGGGGAATTACACAGCTTCTTAGAGAAGCAGTAGACTTTCTGTTCTAATTTATTTGCTGTTGGCTAGTGCTAAATCAAATGTAGTTTATACTTCTTTGGCTAAAAGTAGGGTTAAAAACCAAACAATGCACTGAACATTCACAGACTTGGTAGGTATGTACAGACATGTACGGAGGGGTGTGTGTGTATCCAAAATAAATTTGTTCCAATTCGTTAAAAGTCTAGTTCAGCAGTCCAACACACAGGCTGTACCAGAAATGTGCAGTACAACAAACATTTCCGCACCTACTACGTACGGGTTAGGCATGTGACAAAGAGATGGTCTTACAAAGACAAGTAAGACATGTTTTATTTTCAAGGAATACATATAATAGACTAAGGGAAACTTCAAATTCCACAAGTCACTCTTTGAAAGGCACATCAAGGGGCATCTGGGTGACTCAGTCAGTTAAGCATTCGACTTTGACTCAGGTTCATGATCTCATAGTTTGTCGGTTCAAGCCCTGCATCAGGCTCTGCACTGACAGTACAGAACCTGCTTGGGATTCTCTCTCTCTCCTTCTTTTTCTGCCCCTCACCTACTCATGCTTTCTCTCTCAAAATAAGTAAACTTTAAAAAAAAAAAAAAGAGAGAGAGAGAGAGGCACCTGGGTGGCTCAGTTGGTTAAGGGTCCCACTTCGACTCAGGTCATGATCTCACAGCCTATGAGTTCAAGCCCTGCATCTGGCTCTGTGCTGACAACTCAGAGCCTGGATCCTACTTCAGATTCTCTGTCTCCCTCTATCTCTGTCCCTTCTCCGCTCATGCCCTGTCTCTCTCAAAATTAAATGAATACTAAAAAAAAACCTTTTAAAAAGAAAGAAAGGCACATCTATATATTTATGTTTCTTAAGGATAACTGTGGGTCCCATTCTGCCATACTCTTGGACACCTGATTTATAAAACCCATTAAATATGATTAACACTTCAAGCTCCATCACACTAGAAAATAACTTCCAACACTAAAATTTTTATCTTTACGGGCTCCAAATTCTGAGGTCACCCTAGAGGTGTCCAGGCCACAGGTACACAAACCCCCATTAATCAGAAGGCTAGAACCTATGTCTTTCTAGAGGCTAAAAATGTCTGCAACAACCAGGTGTCACTAAAAACACAATCACACACTTTTACCTTCACTTGCTTTTCATCTGCCAAATGTTTTCCCTTTCTTCCTTTTTCAATATGAAATCTATCAAGCATGTTACAAGGTTATCACATGTATAGTTTAAAGAACAAAGTGGACACTGAGAGCCTATCACACAGCTTTAAGAAGCAGAGCAGAGGCAGGGCCTTGACGCCCTGCACACCCCTGCCCCACTGCACCCCTCCTCCACCCCACCCGCTAACCACTACCCTCTCACCCATCTTGAAGACCCATCCCGAGTTCGACTCTTCTACTTCACAGCTGCAAACGCAGGTGTGCTGTGAGAGGACAACATTCTCCACTCTCCAAGCCTGCTCACTCTCTGGTGACCAGGAATCAGAAAGGAGAAGGAAAGTGTCAAACGCAGGGACCATGTCATGCGCCTCTCTACCCCGCTAGCCAAGCGCCTGCCTGCACCAAGAATTGCAAGCTGAAGGAGCAAACAGGGAGACCCTGAAGCAGGGAGCAAATGTTCTCTTCCTTACCTCGGCCTCTACCTGCTGCTGAGTTCGGCTGTGGTTCTCCTTGTACTGGTTGGCTCTCAGAACTTGCTGCTCGATGCCTAGCAGAACCGCTTCGCAGCCATCACACCTACAAAGGAGATAATGGGCCCTGAACCACAAGGTCTGGGAACTCTCCGACAGCCTCCAAAATCTCCATCGCTGACCCCTTTGGGGACTTCTTTTAACACCCTTCTGCCAAGGAAGGCTCTTGCCCTTCACTCCTTCCAAGACCAGTGGTTCTGAATATAAAACACAGGGCACCTGGACAGACATGGAGGATGTGGGACGGTTTCCTAGAATCCTAGGACACAGCCTGAATTTCAGCCTTCACCTCCCATGGGAAAGGTCTACAGGATGTGCCCACAAAGGGACTGGGACAGACCTTACGGGTGGTACGGATTCACCGCTTTTCTGAAAGGAAACAATGATTTTCTAGAAGCAGCCTACTTTAAAGCTTCCCCCTTTTCTCAGAAGCTTGTTACTTCCTAATTGCCACCCCCTTCTTATTTCATTTCCCTACTTTTTATTTTGAAAATGTTGAAACCTAAAAAAAAAGTTGGAAGAATAGTACAGTGAATAACCATTTACCCTCTACCTAAAAGTCAATAGCTGCAAACATTCCGCCATATTTAGGGTACTGTTCTACCTAACAATTTTGTTCCAAATCTAACTCCAGTGCTTTAACATAAGCTTTAAGAATCTGGACTAGTAAACATCTTGGGATGGGGTTAGGATGGCACCTCTAGGGGAAAAACCAGTGAAGCCAGACTATGGATGTGAGAACATCTCAAAGATGGAGTAAGAGCCACCGCCAGGAGGACTGGAGGCCTGGAGTGCACACCAGGGCGCTTCCACACAAGGGGCGTTTTCTAAGTTTTTTTCCCCATTTTTTTTTTTTTTTTTTAATTTCTAGGAGAGAGAGAGAAAGAGCGTGAGCAGGGGAGGGTCAGAGAGAGAGGGAGACAGACTCTGAAATAGGCTCCAGGCTCTGAGCTGGCAGTCAGCACAGAGCCCGACGCGGGGCTCGAACCCACGAACCGCGAGATCATGACCTAAGCGAAAGTCGGACGCTTAACCGACTAAGCCACCCAGGCGCCCCATTTCCCTATGTATTCTGATTGAACACTTTTACAGTATTTTCAAAGTTCCAGCCTGTGTCAAGAAGATGTCTGGGGCCATACTTGGGACAGAACCTGGGGTAAGATGTGGCCAGCACATACCCTGGGGTCCAACAGTAGGCCAATGGGGGAAATGTGGGGGGGCTTTGAACATAGGGTGGGAGGGAGTCAAAGCGGAGCCATTCATGACTGGAAAGTTTCAGTCTGTTTTAAAGAAGACAATTTCAGGGACGTCTGGGTGGCTCAGCTGGTTAAGCATCCGACTTCAGCTCAGGTCACAATCTCATGGTTCATGAGTTCGAGCCCCACGTCAGGCTATGCTTGACAGCACAGAGCCTTGAGCCTGCTTCGGATTCTGTGTCTACCTTTCTCTCTGCCTCTCCCCAGCTTGTGCTCTGTCTCCCTCTCTCTCTCTCAAAAATAAACATTAAAAAAAATTTCTTTTAAAAAGAAGACAATTTCCCTACCCCTGCACAAGTCTCACTGCTCTGCTTCATGATTGCCAACACAACGTGCCTGCCTGGGGACATGCTGTCCTGACCCTCAACTATGCCCTAACCCTGCCTTCCTTCAAAACTCAGCCAGAATCTCTTCTCCAACTAGGCCCATGTGGCTTCATAAGCTCCAAATCATTTATTTCAGTAACTCCAGAACAAATCCTTAAAGAACATGCAAAGCTATTGCAAACATCAAATCCCATTAACATAGAGAATATGCAAAAACAAAATAAAATATAGAACATGCAAATGTCCCACTTTTTATACACCAGAATATTGTTACCAAATAGTCTGTGCGTATGTCTTGTGTTCCAACTTAGAAAAACCCATTCCTTGTCTTCATTATCCCTCACGATATTTCACCAACGCTAGCCAAAGGTTACTGATGCTGAACGTGGGTTCTCTTATCCAGGGAATCTGATCAGAGGCTGAGTTTACAAAGCACTGGATCCACATCACACAAGCAGGTTTCAGAGGCTCCACCTGCCAAGCCTACTATTCCCCAGTCTCCCCTGCACCAGGCCAACCAAGGTCCTGGGAGGCCTGCAGTGATTCCTGCTGCCATACAGCTTTAGTTGCAAGTGCAGCCCCACGCCCTGGCTTACTGTCCCAAGGCTCCAGCTCCCAGGCAGCCCCAGCTGATAGTGGGAGACATTTCCCCAGGCAGAGGCACAAACGGCACACCCCTCCTTTCGGTCTCACCATTCATGCAAGGTCTTGACAATATTATTGATATCCTTCTTTCGGATGTCACGGCCAATGCAAAAATCCACTTCCAGCAGCTGGTTTCTCTGGTCCAGCTTGCCTTGGATGATGTCAGTATAGACAGCCTCAATGATGAGGTCTTCCAGTTCCCGGAGATTCCGCATCTCCAGGTCCTTCAGCAGCACGGAATAGGGGATACACTGTAGATAAAGCCATGTGATATTTAAAAACTGCTGACAAGCACTAAAGATAATGCAGGTGTACACCTGCCTCAAGGCTTTGGGAAATGCAGTCTGGTGGTAATTATTAACATCTATGGCAATAAGACAAGGATAAATGCGCTATGGGACCTATAGGATCCAAACAAGACCCAGAGCCTCTACAAAAGCATTCTCCTAAATTCTCTACCCGCTGAACTTCACCCAGACTTTAGCTTTCATTTGTCAAGCACTCTCAGAAAATGTCCGAGACTCCTAGATTTTCTACCTGCTGGACTTCACCCAGACTTTAGCTTTTATTTGTCGAGCACTCTTAGAAAGTGTCTGAGACAAGAAAGGGAAATACTCAGTGTGTGCCGCTGTGCCACCTTCTGGAAACTTGCAGACTTGACCTAAAATGCCAGATCATCACAAAACTCCAAATAATTTCAGACACTAGAAAGGAGAACTGGCTGCCTGCCCAGGAGAGCACAAGCAAAACACATTTGCAGGCTAACATATCCACCTACAGGTGGCCAGCAGGTACTGCACCTGTTTTCTCAGCCTCTTGCAACCAATGTTGATTCCCCAAGAACAGGCCCTTATTGGGGTATACCAATATTTTGCATTTCTCAAAGACAACTGTATATCTAAATATCCAGTTTTGTGGACACATCACTACTAGTATTAATACAGCAATGAAATCTGCAAAAACAGGAGGAAGAGGTATACAAACAAGAAAGTAACACCAAACATTGCTAGGGAGATTTTTAATAACTAAAGGCACAGATGAGTTTAGAATGGACACATTGCAGAAATAGGAAAAGAAGTTACTCCTAGAATTTGCTATACTTGGTAAGTCTATGATCAGGACAAAAAAAAAAAAAAAAAGATCAGGTCCTCATTTCCTAACAAAACAGGCATCCCACCTGAAATGCCAGGCTGAGAATCAGAAATTTGTGATCAGACCAGGGAAAATGATCTCAGCAACTGAAACGGCAACGCAAGAACAAATCTATGTCTCTCAAGCTCAATCGCAGAAGGGAAATGTAAAGGGCAAATCTCTTCTGATGCCAAAGCCCCACAAAAACTTTGACAGTTATGCCGGGATAGAACAGAGAGCCAAAAATCAACTACAAATTAACCGAATCTGGTCTTTGTTAATGGCTATGAGAAGCTGGTTGCAAGGCCTCTTTTAAATCAAGTGGCGCAGAGACCTCAGAGAGATGATGGAGTGGTTATCTTACAGGAGGTTAGGGTCTAAAGATAGCATATGAGGCAAAAATTCAGCTTAGTATAATTAACCTTGACAATCCCCAGAAGAAGGCAACATATTAAAAACCTACTCTCGTTAAGTCCAACAAAGCCAGCCTTTCCTCCAGCACTGGCACACTCCGCTGTGCACTGGGCAATGGATGAAGTGGTTAGCCTGCCTCGAGATGTCCTGCTGTTTCAAAAACTGCAGATCTTTAAACAAGAGTTTCCCTTTAGTACAGCAAAATGCTCACGAGGAGCGAGTCACCACGGCATGCCAGAACTGAGACCCGCTGATTCACAATGTCTCCTGGGCATACTTTTCCTGAATAAAATGGTGAGTAGTTGTCTACACTATTTTAATTGTTGTCTTTTCTACTTTTGTCCTTTGCCAAGCAAGTTTTATACATCTATGACACGACTACTGTGCACAACTGGCAGCTCCCACACTGAGGCCAGTGCAACACCTGCCTAAGGGTGAGGAGGAGCGAGACAGGAAGGGGTTCCGGACTGTTACCTTCATTCTCGACGCCAAGCTCACGATGGTAAGGTGCTTCAGCTTGTTCTGCTGAGCAGTGCTCAATTCCGGCAGGCTCTCCTTGTTGGCTGCTCAGTCCCACCCACCACAAAAATCAAGACACAAAATAAATTAGAATTTCCTTACAGAAGAAGCTCACCGACCCCCCCACATCAAATCTACTGTTGATTCACTGTCATGACTCTGCACTTATGCATGAGGCAAATGTCCCACGAGCACCTCCTGTCTTCTCTGGAAGACTGTGTGCTCCTGAAAAGCCAGGCATAAAGGCACAAAATGACAGGACAATCATCTTAACCTAATATTATCTGTGCCCTTTGTGACATTCAACCAAGCTCAACGTGTCTTCACTGGGAATCTCTTATGTGCAGTGCACTGTCCTAAGTGACTCAGAGAAGTCAAGGATAAATAAGATGCGCTTTGTCAGGGCTGCTGCACTGCACAACCCCAGGGATAAGAACCACCAGACTTGTGCAACTCAATGGTCTTGGGCTTGTCCTCAGTCTTACAATCGGATATTTCAACAGCTATAAGTGCAAGACAGAACTACTAGAAGAAAGATACAAACTATCAGAAGAGAGCCACAGAGTGAGGAAGAGGGGCAGAGGCAGAAAGGGAGAGGAAGGAGGCAGGGGAGAAAAGGAAAGAAATAGGGAAAGGGAGAGAGGAAGTGAGTGCAATCACATTGAGGAGGTACAGAAAGGAAAACAAAGATGGAGTTTCAGATGAGCTTTGAAGACTGGGCAAAATTTCAGTAATGACAATGGCAGCAAAGGCAGCAGCTACAGGCCGTGTGTCCACACACATGCAGTTAGTCTTCACAATGACCTCGCAAGGTAGATCCCGAATGCCTTGAATTCCTTATCCATAATCCTGGAGCCCAAAATGGTGAATCCAAACTAATTTTTTTTCTCGATCATGGTGCTGAAAATTTATCTCGTGGCAATTCCTGACCTGAACTGACACAGGCTTTTAATAGCACTTGTTGTAAATATCCATTTGTTTAGCTGCAAAACTGAATGTGTTTTCACTAATCTTGAAGCGTGTTAATATAAAAAGGTATATGCATCATATTACCTCTTCGGAGTCCCCCAAATTCTAAATTCTGAAACATCTAGCCCAGGAGTGCATGTTCAATTGGATTTTTCCCCATCTTTCAAATTATTAGTAACTCAATCTCATTTTACCCAAGTTGAGATGAAAATACTGACTAGAAGGAACCCAAGACTTCATCCTTGCTGTCTTTCCCTCTCACCCCCAAAAATTCCCATTCCTCCTCAACAGTGCACCTCACAAAGCTTCAGCCCCTCAAATTCCCTGGAGACCAAATAGAGAGACATAAGTAAGAAAAGTGTTTGGAGGATCTTAACCAACTCACCTATGTAATCTGGGTATGTGCCATAGGCAAACAGGTTCAGCAACTGCAAATAAGCAGCATTAGCTCCTTCAGCAAGCTGAGGAAGAAAAAAAAAATAGTTCACAGACCAAGGTGGCTACCAGTCACTGCAGAGCTCAAGCAAAGGGTGATGATCGTGTGCCTCAGTTGACTGTTTCACTAGATGATCCCTGAGGTCCCTTCCAACTCTGATTCTTTGGAAAAAAATAAAGTTTAATTTTAAATTTAATTCTTCTCTCTCAGCAATACATGATTTACACTCCGCACGGCATGCCCAAGAAACTGCTTCTGCCTCTGTCTGTCTCTGTCTCTATCTCTGTCTCTCTCTGTCTCTGTCTCTCTCTCTCTCTCTCTCTCTCACACACACACACACACACACACACACACACAGCAGTTAGTACTGGAAGCAGTGCAGGTCTTCTCAGAATTTCCTTGCCACTAAAACAGAGTGGAGCAGCCTTGTCTACACACGTATTAGCAGGTACAACATGAGCATCAGTCCAACCTGAATGAAGTGTAGGGTAGGTTCCGAGGTTCAGAACCACGAGAGAAGGAGCGCTAGGAGAGGTCAGCACAGCATCAAGTGTGACAGAAGAGCCCCAGTGGGACAGGAAGCCACAATATCAGGCAGCCTCAAATAAAAATGTTCCCCCAAATTACCTAGTCCTCACTAAGATGACAAAGAGCTACTGGAGAAGTAGCGGAGATATTGTTCTGTCTGGAACTGCCCTGCTCTGTTGTTGGTTAACTTAACTGGATGTTTCTTTTACTCACAAATGTGTACCCGTTACTCTTCCAATATACCAAACTCTGTACACTAGTACCCAAGGGGTATTCTGTGGACACTGATGGTAATACTACTTAATTTAAACTCTTTTTATTTTTTTAGTCTATTTTGAGAGAGAAAGTGCAAGCAGGGAAGCAGAGAGACAGGAAGAGAGAGAATCCCAAGCAGGTTCCATGCTGTCAGCACAGAGCCGGAAGTGGGGCTTGATCCCACAAACCATGAGATCATGACCTGAGCTGAAATCAAGAGTCGGTTGCCTAACCAGCTGAGCCACCCAGGTGCCCCTAAACCATTTAAAAAAAAAAAAAGAGGTTCCAAGAACTACATCCATAACTTCAGACCACTGAAAACTAGTGCTCCAGCTCACATATGGGAAAAAACAAACCGTGGGGAGATAGAGGTAATTTGCTCAGCAGCCCCATGAGAACCCTGGCATCCTAATAAGCTAGTCTACCTTCTCAGGTTATCAAGAACCTCTTGAGGTCCTGAATCAGAGGAGAAAGAGATCATCAAACCTCGCCCCTACTTTTCAGACAATTACAAAACTAACCCTAAAATACTATTTTCTGTAGATACTCCAAAACTTCTCCCACTGGCCTAAATCAATGTCTTCCTCGTTTTAATTTCCATCCATCTCCTCTTAGCCAATCTTCCAAAGTTCTGAAACAACCACCTGACATATTCATTTAGGTTTTTCATGAACCTAAAGAAGCATATTAACCCTTTGTCATCTCTTCTGTTGAAAAAATGATGAGCTATCAAGTCATAAAAAGACACAGAAATTTAAATGTGTACCACTAAGTAAAAGAAGTCAATCTGAAACAGCTGCATACTATATGATTTCAACTATATGACGTTCTGGAAAAGTCACTATGAAAATAGTAGAAAGATCAATGGTTGCCAGGGATTAAGAGAGGAGGGAGGGATGAATAGGTAGAAAAGAGGAAACTTTAGGGCAGAGAAATTACTCCATGACACTGTAACAGTGGACACACATCATTACACATTTATCCAAATCCACAGAATGTATACAAATCATGGGTGAACCCTAATGTAAACTACAGTCTTTGGTGATAATGAAGTGTCACCGTAGGTTCCACACTGGCTGGGGATTTGGTAATCAGCTCTTTGCTGATAGCACAGAGCCTGACGCAGGGCTCGAACTGGGAACGGCAAGATCATGACATAGGCCAAAGTCAGATGCTTGACCAACTGAGCCACCCAGGCACCCCAAAACAAACCATTTTAAAAGATTTTCTTCACAGGATTCCTTTTACATCACTAGTAAATTAAAATTTGACTATAAGCCATGGGGCGCCTGGGTGGCTTAGTCGGTTAAGCGTCCGACTTTCGCTTAGGTCATGATCTCGCGGTTCGTGGGTTCGGGCCCCGCGTCGGGCTCTGTGCTGACTGCCAGCTCAGAGCCTGGAGCCTGTTTCAGTCTGTGACTCCCTCTCTCTCTGACCCTCCCCTGCTCACGCTGTCTCTCTCTCTCTCTCCTAGAAATAAATAAAACATTAAAAAAAATTTTTTTTTACTATAAGCCAACTGTGTGTCGAGCTACCTATTAAGTACTAAGGAAACAATGAGAAGCACAAGACCCTATGCTTACTGAGCTTACAGCCCAGCAAGCAAGGCTGACATTAAATAAAAATTCACAATTAAAAATAAAAGCGGCTCTTTTGGTCTCCAGCTGTCACAGGGAGACAAGATGATGCCAGGTCCATCCATCAGCAACGGATGGTCATGAGGAACTGCTCCAGTTTCCTAATCAAGAGGAATAAGTAGATGTGCAGCAGGGAGTCCCACAGCCTGAAGGCCACACCTCTCCTACGAGGGGCTGATTCACCACCGAGCCAGCAACTGCCAGCAAAGGTGTCCTAGTGGTCATGAAGTGAAGAACCAGCCAGCAAGAGCCAACCACCTCCTATCCGTGGACCACCATCGACAAGAATGCCCAGGCCACCCTCAACAGCACAGTGCACACAATCCACAAGAACAAGCACCACACAGATCTGTGCTTGGTGGCCATCCACAGAGCCAGGAGCCATCTGCAGAGCCAGCGCTGTCCTAAACAGCCAGAGGGAAGCTGTGATGGTGAAGAGCAAGCTCACGCCCCATCCAAGAGCTTCTGAGCACAACCCCCAAAGTAATGAAGATGTCACCAGATTTTTCAATCAATTAATCGATACAAAAGTTATCAGCCAATAAATGTAAAAGTATCCAAAGTGAGAAGTAGAGATTGAAAAGTATAGGTTGCTTCACATCTCTTTGTTCTACCTGGTCATTCTTCACCAACCTTCTCATTTCACAACAACCAAAATTAGATACCCAAAGTTCTAAAGACAACAATCAAAAAAGAAGTAAACAGAGAAAAAAGGAGTACTTCCCAGCTTTTTCATGTCATTTTTTTTTTTTTAACATATCCACTTAGCATAACATTGCCCTTTTCAACAGGACAATGTATTCCTTCTACAACACATTCCTCCTTCATGGCCAGCTCATTCAATAGCAACCACTTTCTCCAATGTATGTACCTGACCAGTCTTTCTTGTCTATATTTACACTAGAGGTTTTTTGATCCCTACAAATGCCTGAAACAACCTCTATTAACATCAGCCAGTGCTTATACTCTACTTTTCTTATTTATCAGGTTCAATTGGATTTTTCCTGTATCTTTCAAATTATTAGGAACCCAATCTAATTTTACCCCACGCTGAGATGAAAATATTGACCAGAAGGAGCCCCAGACATCATCCTTGCTCTCCTTTCTTCCCCATCCCCCAAATTCCCATCCCTCCCTCAACAGTGCACCTCACAGGTCCACAAAGCTTCAGCCCTGAAATTCCTTGGAAACCTGGAGAATCACAGGAAGGTTTAGAACAAAGAAGACAGAGAAACTGTTTGGAAAGTGCTCTTACCTCTTGCACGTTGGCCAGCTCCAGCAGTTCTCCAAAGACATACACTCCAGGAGCCTCCAAGACTTGGCTTATGAGAGCAGTGAGGGCTGAGCCACTGGTACCTTTGGCTAGTAAAATAAACTGTTCTAGGAGGTTACTTGACGGCTTCTGTTCACCTGCCATTCTCTGGCCTTGAGATCTGTCCAAAAGAAAAGTGTTTCAGTCATTCTTCCTTCTCCGTTGCAAAGTCTATGCTTATTTAATGCCAGATCAGACATCAGCAATACTTTAATTTTATAGTATTCAAGAAGAGGGGCACCTGGTGGGCTCAGTCGGTTGAGTGTCTGACTTCAGCTCAGGTCATGATCTCATGATTTGTAGGTTCTAGCCCCACGTCAGGCTCTGTGCTAACAAGTATGAGCCTAGAGCCTGCTTCAGACTCTGTCTCCCTCTCTCTCTGCTCCTCTCCCATTTGCATCTATGTCTCTCTCTCCCTCTCTCCCTCTCTCCCTCAAAAATAAATAAATAAATAAATATTCAAAAAGTAAAACAGCTCGAGTCCAGATGCTATGACCACTTTGTGAGATGGGCAGGGTTCCACCTAGAGTTAACGGGATTTTGCCCTTGCTCCAGGGTTTGAAACACACTTAGGAAAAGCCACTTCATCCCCATCTGGCCCTCTCCCAACAGCAAGCAGCACCTTCTAAGCCCTCAAAACTGACCAGACCCAAAGAAACACACAGGAGTTTCTCAGGAGCTGTTTTATATTCACCTCACTGACAGACTCTAGTTAAGAAAGAGAATTTCACCCATACAGGCGGCAGATGCAAGCAAAAGCAATCAGTTACAGCTTCCAGCGTATATCACTGGAATCCCACCTACCGCCAGATACAGATAAGGAAAGCCACAAAAAGTAGACAAGACCTCTCATTAAACCAAAAAAGTCATTTAAGCATAGCAAAAGAGAGGAAATCATATTGAAAGATAAGCAACACGACATCCAAACTCAGAAAATACATGCTGTTTAAGTCCATGAGGAAAATCCCTCTATTTGACCTCCCATTGCTATATGATTTTACCAAACGTGATTTCAGAATTTTTTTTCAAAAATTTTTTAATGTTTTTTAAATTTATTTCTAGGAAAGAGAGAGAGAGAGAGAGAGAGAGACAGCGTGAGCAGGGGAGGGTCAGAGAGGGAGGCAGTCAGACTCTGAAACAGGCTTCAGGCTCTGAGTTGTCAGTCAGCACAGAGCCCGACGCGGGGCTCGAACCCACCAACCGTGAGATCATGACCTAAGCGAAAGTCGGACGCTTAACCGACTAAGCCACCCAGGCGCCCCGTGATTTCAGAATTTGTACAAAATCTCAAGAAAACAATAAAAAGATTTGGGGAAGCAATGAAGATACTGTATTGCCATCCTGAAGACATCAGAGAGGCCAGTCCCTCAACTTCACAATCCAACTATATGCTGACTGTATGGGAGCACACACTGCGGATCTCCACTGCGGGAGTCCTGCATCAGAAAAGACTACCCCTCCAAGAATGACACATTTTGGGGGTACTAAGACAAAAGGAAGGGAACAATTCCAAGAACTGTTTGGTGCAAGAGACACTAAGCTTTCCTTCGGAGGCAGGCATGGAGAGCAACAGCCCTTTCAGAGAAGGAGGGAAACAAGTATGTCGCCTCACTTAGGGTTACATAAGAATGCCTTGTCGGAAACAGAAAAAGTCAAGTGCTAAGGGAATAAAAGTTGCTTAAGAGAAAAGGGGAAAGAGGAGAGGGATCGGGTAGGGCGGGAGAAGGCGGGAGAGAGGGGATGGTTAGGAGAGAAGGAACGAAACCCTCCCGTCCACGCGGACACGTGTGAAGGCTGAATGGAAAGGCCTGGGGTGGAGAGGGAGTGGAGTAAAAGGCAGAAACTTCGGTCCTTCAAAAAAATTCCGGCCTAAGGCGCAAAGCCTGTAGGCGCAAAGAGGTTGAGAAGGCGCAGTCGCTTTTCTGGTGAAGTGGGAGGGCCGGAGGAGGAGGCTAGGGACACAGGGGAGGTGAATTCGCGTCGTGGGGGGGCGCTATTTTGATGGGCAGCAGAGGGGCAAAGAGGCAGCCTGTGGGGGGTGGGGAAGCGAGAGCAGCCGCGGGTTCGGCACGGAGGGTCGCAGGCTGGGGCGGACGTCCAGGCGGGCGGCGTGCTCCAGGCAGGGCCGCGGGTGCGGAGAGAGGGGCCGCGGGGCGCGCTCCCCGGGGCGGGGCCGGCGCGGCGTGGCCGCGGGCTTCCCCGGGGGCCCGGGCGAAGCCACGCGGCGGGGACAAGCCTGGCGCGCCGGGCCCCGCCCTCTCGCCAGCCCCTACCTACCCTCGCCACCTCTCCGTCTCTCGGTCGCTGGCTCGGCCTCCCGGCGCCTGTCCGCAGGTTGTCAAGCGTCCATGATCGGTCCGGCGTCCGACGCTTTTCTGCCTCCGCCGACCCGTTGCCCTTGCGGCTCCCCCGGAAGCCTCCCGCAGCTGCACTCGAGTTCCGCCCACACTAGGTTCCCCCCGCGGCGTAGGCAGCCGCAGACCCCGAGCGGCCTGGGCCTGGGCGAGACGGTCAGAGGCGGGTCGTAGCCCAGGAAGCAGGGGGGAGAGGAGCCCGCGGAGAGGTGCGCAGTCTAGGGGGGTGCTGGGGCCCAAACCGTCGCCATCACCATCCCGGTCCCGAAATTCACCTCTTTGACCGAGCTACCCCTCAGGAGCTCCCTACGGCGACTGCGGCTATCCACCCGGGGGTACAAAGACACATTAAGTCTAATAACAACTACCGATTATTGTCCGTTTTCCCATGTGCCAGGCGTGTACATTGTCTTGTTGAATTATAAAAACTATGGCTTGTAGCAGTATTCCGATTTTTCAGATGAGTTAACAAAGCTTAAAAATCCAACAGCCAGTAAGTGGCAAAGGCTGCTTTGGAACCCAATGACCATATCCGTGACCTCTGTTGAGAATACGTTTTAAAATAAACAAGAGATTGGGGCGCCTGGGTGGCTTAGTCGGTTAAGCGTCCGACTTTCGCTTAGGTCATGATCTCGCGGTTCGTGGGTTCGAGCCCCACATCGGGCTCTGTGCTGACTGCCAGCTCAGAGCCTGGAGCCTGTTTCAGTCTGTGACTCCCTCTCTCTCTGACCCTCCCCTGCTCACGCTGTCTCTCTCTCTCTCTCTCTCTCTCCTAGAAATAAATAAAACAATTTAAAAAAAAATAAGCAAGAGATGGGTTGAGCCAACAATGGTTCTGTGAGCAAAATGACAGAGGTGGCCCTTGCATTTGGTACTTAGCAACTCTCCTGGCAGATGGCTAGGAATGCTAGGCAGCTGAACACTTAAGCTGGTTCCTTTAAAGTATATACCACAGACTTTCGGGGCTTGAAGAGCCCTGTTTGCCTTTGGTGAATTAGAGTGCAGCAATCAGACAGATGCAAAGGAGTCTAGCAGCAACTCACTGATTTATTCAAAAGATGTTCTAATTTCCGTGTTCTAGAAGATTTATATAAAGAGAAGACAAGCTTCTTGCCCTCATACGGCTTCAATGTAGGGCACCTGGCTGGCTCAGTTGGTAGAGTATGTGATTCTCAATCTCTGGTGGTGAGTCAAAGCCCCATGTTGGGCATGAAACCTACTTAAGAAAGTTTCAATGTGTTGGGGCGCCTGGGTGGCTTAGTCGGTTAAGCGTCCGACTTTCGCTTAGGTCATGATCTTACGGTTTGTCATGATCTCACCGTTCGTGGGTTCAAGCCCCGCGTCCGGCTCTGTGCTGACTGCCAGCTCAGAGCCTGGAGCCTGTTTCAGTCTGTGACTCCCTCTCTCTCTGACCCTCCCCTGCTCACGCTGTGTCTCTCTCTCTCCTAGGAATAAATAAAACATTTTTAAAAAATTTATAAAAAAAAAAAGTTTCAATGTGTTATGAGTGTGTTGGGGAAGAGAAAAGAGGCATCTTCCAGGCAAATAAATAAATAAATAAATAAAGGCAAAAAAGCACCAGACCACAGTCACAGAGGTTTGCTCTGTGTAGCATATACTAATGCAGAAAAGAAACCTGGAGTGTCTGGAATCCAAGGTTCTGGGGTGAAAAATGAGGGCTACCAACCTGGAGTCAGGTCATCAGGGTCTTATAAACCATATGCAAGGCACTATACCCTTCAAAAACCTTAATACAGCAAAGTTCCTACTTGGGAGAGCCCACAGACCCTGAGCGAGACAGACCTGTGTGGCTATGACAGACAGTGGCCATAGACACCCTAGTGATACAGATAAGGTGGGGAGAGGTGATTTAAGGCACAGTTCTAGAGGAAATGAGGCTTGGGTTGAACATGGAAAAATGGACAAGAAAATCACAAAAAGGGTAAGCCATGTAAAGGAGTTTTTATTTTACCTTAAGGGTCTTGGGGAGCTATTTAGGATTTTTAACCTGTGGAGAAGCATGACTGATTGCCACTTTAGAATGATCACACTAGCTGCTATAGGAATGGATTGGATACACGAAGAGCTAGAGGCCAGGAAAACTCTTGAGGGGATACAGTCTAGAGAAAGATTGTGAGATCTTGAACAAAGGCAGTGGCAGTTGGGCATGAAAAAGAAGGGACATTGTTGGGAGACATTTAGACCACAGAATCTATCGGACGTAGTGACCAGCCGAACGCAGGCATGGGGAGGAGGGTATCACCCAGGACTCTGGCTGGGGAGGCCAGAGCTGTATTGGAGGTGGTGGAAGGAAGACAGCTAAGTTCTGTTTGAGTTCATAAATATTCTGGCAGGGCTCCACTTCCTCCAGAATCATGTCCAGACTTCAAGGCTGCAGCGAAAGCCCTTCTCAGTATGCTTCCCTCAACATTTCCACATTTCCAGCTTTGTCTCGCCCCCTTCTCACAGCCTGAACTCCAGGCCTTCCCACATCCAACATGAGAGATGTACCTTTCCTCTCTGACACCAGGGTCTGTGTTCAAACTTGCTCTCTCCTCTTCTTCTTCTTCTTCTTTTTTTTTTAAGTTTTATTTACTTATTGGGGGGTGGGGCAGAGAGAGAGGAAGGGAGAGAATCCCAAGCAGGCTCTGCACTGCCAGCATGCCCAGGTGTCCCAGCTCTCTCTCCTTTTTTGCAACGCTCTTCCCTCATATTTGCCTGTTTAAATCCTACCAACCTGGAGCACCTGGGCGGCTCCGTCAGTTAGGCATCCGACTCTTGATTTCGGTTCAGGTCATGATGTCACCGTTGTGGGACCGAGCCCTGCATCGGGCTCTGTGCTGACAGCGTGAAGCCTACCTGGGATTCTCTCTCTTTCTTTTCTCTCTGCCCCTCCCCAGCTCACACACTCTAGCTTGCTCACGCTCTCTCTCTAAATAAATAAATAAACATTTTAAAAAATCCTATCAACCCTGTAGGCAAAGATTTCTTAAATTCAATGCAAAAAGGCACTAATCATAAAAGAAGACACTGAACTATTGCACTACATTAAGAATTTCTGTTTATCAAAAGACGCCAGTGCAAGACCAAAAAAGCAAGCCACAGATTTGGAAAAGATATTTGCAAAGCCTTTATCAAAGAACTCCATACCCAAACTTTATAAAGAACTACAAATCATTAAGAAGACAAAAAGCCCAAATTAAAGAGAGGGCAAAAGACTTGAACAAGCACTTCACAAAAGAGGACACTCAAATAGTCAAAAAGCACGTGAAAAGGTGTTCGATACCAAAGACCATGTAAGAAGAAACTGTAAAATACCACATTTACATGGAGGAGGGCACTTGTTGGATGAGCACTGGGTGTTATATGGAAACCAACCTGACAATAAACTATGAAAGAAAAAAAAAGTGAAAAAAAAGAAGATAACCACAATTAGCCAAAATAACTAAAATTAGAAAGACTGATAAGACCCTGTTTTGACAAGGATAAAAGTCAGCTAGAGTTTTTTTTACATTGCCGGTGAAGGCAAAATGACGCAAACACTTCAGAAAACTGGCAATATCTAATGTTGCTGATCATATGCACACTGTACAAGCCAGCTACTCCTCTCCTAGAAAATGAGTGCAATCTACAAAAAGAAACCTAGAAGAATGCGCATTGCAGCTTTGTTAATAAAAGCCAAAAACTGATAACTGACAACCTAAATACCCATCAGAACATATAAATACTGCTACATACATACAATGGAATACTAGCCAGTAATTTTAAAAAAAAAAAAAGGGGGGCTTCTGTTACATATAACATGGATGAATCTCCAAAAATAACTGATGAATGAAAATGCCACTTACTGTATACACTAAATGATTACATTTAAATGAAATTCAAGACAAAACTAATTTGTGGTAATAGAAGTCAGAAGAGTGGCTTTTGGGGTGGGTGGATGCAGTGCTGATTGGGAAGGGGTACAAGGGTGCTAGAAATCTTGGGTTGGGGGACGGGGACACAGGCGCATATGTATGCAAAAACTGCCCTTCCTGCATATGCCATGCCTCATTAACAAAAAATGTTTTAAGATAAAGTTTTTTAGTGAAAAAAAAAAAAACCCACCCATCCTTCAAATTCAAATGCCATCTCCTCCATCAAGTTTTGCCAGCCGGAATTAATCTTTCCATCAGAACCTCTGTGGCATTCCGATGACCTTTCCCTTATGACATTTATTGAAGCCCATCTTAAATCTCAGCAGAGTCTCCTTTTTTTCCAACCAGATAGTTATCTCCCTTGTGGCAGTGACAATGCCTTTCACCCTTCACCGGAAACCTGAAAAGGCTCTTTGTTGAATTACGTGGAAGGAAAAATTGGGTGGGTGAAAGGGGGACAGGAAGAGGAAGGAAGGCCTAGGAAAAGAGATAGGAGATCTCTAAGGAAACCTTAGCTTACAGTACAATTTTACCTAGTTCCTGAAATCACACTAAATGTCACCTTGAGCAACAAACAAAGAGCAAATCAAAACAAGTCCTTCCTAGACTGGAAGATAAACATCACACTCCTTCACTTGCAGGAAATCCACCAAATGAATGCTTACCTAACCTCTGGGTATTTCAACCTGGATGGGAAACTTCACCAAGTTGAATAATCATCACATACCCATGCTGCTAAAAATATCCCCACCTTAGTGTGGTGTAAATAAACAGCCCAGACTGCGGATCAGGAGACTTAGGGCCGAATTCTAACTCTATCCCAACTTGCTGTAGCCAGTGGGCAATCTCTGCGCCTCTCTGGGCCTCAGTTTCCTCATATGGAAAACAACAGGGGTTGGACTGGCAAATTATCTTAATATTCCTTCCGGTATGGATGTTCTGAGTATACAATCGATATCTCTCCCAGTCCAACGCAGGAGCACACCAGAAACCCCTGCAAAACAAGTAAAAAGCGCCCCAGACCAGCAAACAAGCACAATTTGAAGGAGTCATTTTGTTACATTATCTTCCATGGTTTAATCAGTGGTTTTGTTTGTTGTTTGCAGCCTTACCATGATTTGCAGGAGATTTCTGAGTTCCATGTAAACAGATGTTACCTCTCTGTGGGCTGTCATCTTCTGAGAGTTAAGGGGGTCTTCCCGCCTAGTGTGAAGTCTCCGAATTCAGAAACACCCAAAGCGGAGGTACGGTTTATGAATTTGCGCACACTGCGCGGCACACTGGAGTCTAAGTTACAGAGGAACGGGGTGCAAGGGATGCTGGGATTTGTAGTCCCTGGGCCTCTTTGTTGCGTGCTGGGATCTGTGGTCTCCGGAGCACTCTCCTGGAATGCTGGGAAATGTAGTCTCTTTCGCATCGCCCAGTGCAACCCGCAGTCATCCCAGAACCTTAGTGTGCCTAGCGGCAGGAGCGGGCTCCTCGAGCCTCTGCAGATTTGACCCCAACCCTCCGCTGGGGCAAACTCTAGGCAACAAGACCTAAGAAACAATTTGTCCTACGGGACTTCCCGGGGAGGGCCCTTCCCACCGACGCTCGTTGTCCCCCCACCCGCGAAGCCGCTGAGTGTTTCTATTGGCTGGTCAGGATGCCAATCGGCGAGGCGGGCTTTCCATTGGTTTCGGGGCGGGCGCTCCTAGGCTGGGGGAAGGAGAAGAGATCAGGAGCGGGAGCTGAGGGGAGGGAGAGGCCGGTCTTGGTCTGGCCGCTGCCGCTGCTCGCCCGAGGTCTCCAGGCCGGGCTGCGGCTCCATCCTAGGCTCCTGGACACGGTCTGCGAGGCTCCGCCGGGCCAGCGTGGGAGAGCCGCGGGCGGCGGCCGCCGCATCATGTCAGCCAAGGACGAGCGGGCCAGGGAGATCCTGAGGGGCTTCAAACTGTATCCGCCCGGGAGCGGGGCGGGGCTGGGAGGACTTGGGAGACGGTCGCTTGCTGGGGAGACTGGCCGGGGGCGAGGGTCGCGCCAGGTGGACACCGGACGGGAGCGCGGCGGGAGGCGAGGGAAGGAACGGCGTCCGTGCCCCTGGCGGGACCGGGCGCTGGAGGCGGGGCAAGGGGCGTCCTGAGGGATGAAGGGGACGTTGATGGGAGCCCCAGGGGCCGGAGGCGGAGGAGCCCGGGAATTGGGCTGGGAGGCGCGCGGGGAGTCGGAAACGGGTGTCTGGGAGGCTAGCTTGGGTCCGAGCTTCGGCCCGCACCCAGAGGCCGGGAAGGGGCTGCGGCCCGCGGGGGAGGACGGAGGGGGCGCGGTGGGCTGGCCTCGGAGCCCAGCAGCCCGTTTGGCGGGAAGCACCCTGGGGAGCAGGAAAAAGTGGCTTGGAGCGAGTGACCTTGTGTGGGACAAATGCAGATGCTTGTGTGAAACTCTCCCGGGTTCCCCCATCCCATCCCATCCCACTCCCGGCTTGTTTCCACAAGTTCTCTGCCTCACTTGTGGCTCCTTCCAGGTCTGGAGACGATGGAAGGTAGGGAAGGAGATGTCCGGGATCGACCTTATCTTAACTCTGTCTTGGCCTTTTGAGGCAGTGGATGGTGGCTGCTGCTTTCTCCGCTTTTCACTTGTCTGTCCTGCGAAATGAGGACCCCAAACTTGTGCGTGAGATGCCTGGAGGTGTTTGGGTTTTGCACTGGGACTCCTGGCGAAGGTATCTGCTCGATCGCGTTGGTACGTTTAAGGCGTAGACAGGGTGGAGCTGTCCAGCAATTATTTGATTACGTTGGGGACACGGTAGGAATTAGCAGGATATAGAAATCATTGCCTCAGGCCTGTTGTGGTGCCGCTTTCGTAGCCTTTTCTCTCCTTCACGTAGTGACGAAGCCTCGCGTCCTAATGGAGTGTTAATCTGTAACCATAGGATGCGGATGAAAAAATGCAGTCCTGTACATTCCAATTTCACATTTTCCTGCTGACCCCTAATCTCTTTTTTTACACCCCGTGCATACAATATGGAACATTCTTAACTTCCTCTCTCAGCGAAATTGTAGTCCTCACTTTAGGTCTCTTCCCCTAACGGAGATTTGGGGGAGACTGTCCTCTGAGCCGCCTGTGTGTTTTCACAATGCCCACTTCACCCCTGCAGATGTTGATTGCTTTGTCCTAGTCGGAAAGCAACGTGGTAGTGAGTTTGAGCACGCGAAATGCAAAAAAAGTTACAGGATGTTTTGGGTGTACAAATGAGAAGTTTCCAATGGAAGCTGACCTGCTATTGCTTCTTTTCAAAGAAGAGGGCATCGTCACCTATGCGTACTGCCATTTGTGGTCAACTTTCAAACTTTTAAGTGGTGAAGTTTAGTCACAGCCTCCTTTTCTTTTTCTTAATTTTTTAAAATCTTTATTTTCTTTTGAGAGACAGAAAGAGATAGAGCACAAGCAGAGAAGGAACAGAGAGAGAGGGAGACACAGAACCCAATGCAGGCTCCAGGCTCTGAGGTGTCAGCACAGAGCCCAATGCCAGACTCGAACTCATGAACCTTGAGATCATGACCTGAGCCAAAGTCGGACACTTAACCGACTGAGCCACCCAGGCGCCCCATAGTCACAGCCTCTCTTATAGCTTCATGTACCTTTCCGTGTTTCTCTTCATAATGGCACCTATAAGTAAATAGGGATGGCTGAAGTGTTAGAAAAGCTGTGACACAAATTTTATTTTGCCTTTAAGTAATTTGTATTGTTACTAACAGGTATGCCGTAGACAGTAAAGCCAGAGACCGGGGACAATTGGGAGATTTCAGAAGCAACGTTTTTGTCCAGTTGGAATTAACGTATTGCCAAAAACAAGAAAGAATTTTTTAAGTGGCTTTCAGACAAAGCAGAAGGGGAAAGTTTAACTTCTCACCTCAGTCTGAGCTCTTGAAGCTATGAGAAAGAGGCTAAGGGACAAATAGGGAAAAGAGTAAAAAGCAGAAACTGCAACAGCCTACTAGAAGGACAGGTGAATTAATCAGTTCAATGGTGACGCTAGTGTATCAAGACACAGGCGTTCAGATGGGGCGTCTGGGTGGCTTAGTCGGTTAAGCGTCCGACTTTCGCTTAGGTCATGATCTCGCGGTTCGTGGGTTCGAGCCCCACGTCGGGCTCTGTGCTGACTGCCAGCTCAGAGCCTGGAGCCTATTTCAGAGTCTGTGTCTCCCTCTCTCTCTCTGACCCTCCCCTACTCACACTGTCTCTCTCTCTCTCTCCTAGAAATAAATTAAAAAATATTTAAAAAAAAGAGAGAGAAATAAAACATAAAAAAAAAAAAAAAAGAAGAAGGTAATAGTCCCACACATGAAGAATTTGTTTAGTCTATGAGGGAATCATGGCTCATGGCTAAGTGGAGCTGTCCCAGAGGAGAGGCACTGGAAACATGTCATACATACAATGATCTGAGAAGTGGGAAGGTTTGACCTAAAGATAAAAAATGAGGCAAAGGATGTGAGTTTTCTCTTCTGAAGCTTAAAACACTATTCCAAAGAGAAAGAAAGAAACATGTTCCGTGTTGCTCTCAGAGAAGTATGAGACTCAATGTTAGACATTATAGGGGACAAAGTTTATTTAGCCCAGTTTCTAACAATTAGAGTTACCTCGGGGCGGGGTGGGGGGGGAGCATTTTCCAGAAAGTATTTTAAGCAGCACATGGATACTCCTGTCCGTGAAGAGTATTGCAGAGGGGGGGCACCTGGGTGGCTCAGTCAGTTGGGCATCCGACTTCAGCTCAGGTCATGATCTCATAGATTTTGGGTTCGAGCCATGTGTCAGGCTCTGTGCTGACAGCTGAAAGCCTAGAGCCTGCTTCAGATTCTGTGTCTCCCTCTCTCTGTCCCTCCCCAACTTGCACTCTGTCTCTCAAAACTAAATAAATGTAAAAAAAATTAAAAAAAAAAAGAGTATTGCAAAGGGAAATTATATATGCAACAGATAAGGTGTTAGAGTAGATGGTCTTCAGAAGGACTCAAATCCTTTTCCAACACCACAATTCTTTGATTTGGTGATGGTCATTCTTATTAACAAGGATTTTTTTCAGCAAGTATTTCAATTCAGATATATGCTACACCTAAAATAGGCAAAACATATTTTGTGATTTGATATAATTAAACAAGATATCATTTCCATTTTATTTTTCAGAGCACTCTCTTCTTAGATACTCAGTATTGATGAAGTATTCTGTTTAGGGCATTGCAGATCCACTGATTCAGAGTCATGGAGAGCAATTGTATCTGAATTTAGATGAAGTCTGAGAACTAAATAAAATAACTCTAATGTAAATAACCCTTTAAACATAGCTACAAGAAGAAAAGGGGGTGGGCTAATAATATCTGACCTTCCTATAGTCTTTTTCAGTTTTTTCAAAGTATTTTGATATATTATTGCATTATCACAACAACTCTATACATTACTATCCTCACTTTATAGATGGGAAATTAAAGATTGATGAGGTTATCACTGAGATGAAGGCAGAACCTTAATTTAAACCTTGGTTTATCTTTGTATAAATTGTCGTTTTCTACACTATACCATGATGTCTCTAGAGAATTTTTTTCTGTATTACTGATTTTGACTTTAAAAACTTGCCTTAGTGTTTAAGTCACAGATTTATTTTTCACTTGAAAATAATTCTTTTCTATTGTGGTCTTCTTCATTTTTCCTCAGCTCTCAGTTACAGAGAGCAAGGTTTAGCTTGGGATTAGAGTTACTTGAAAAGGACATTTTCCAGAAAGTTTTAAGCAGCATGTATCAGTCTGTTAGAGCTGCTATAACAAAATATCTTAGACTAGGTAGCTGAAACAATGGACATTTATGTCTCAGCAGTTCAGAGGCTAGAGTGTCCAAGATCAAGATACTATCTGATTTGGCTTCTAGAGGGGACTCTTCTCCTGGCTTTGAGGGTCAAAAACAAGTTCTTGGAATTGCTGGAAATTGTATTCACCTTCTCCCTGTGTCCTCCATGGTGGAGAGAGAGGGGATGGGCAGATTGTCGGAGAGCATAACTATACCATGTGTGGCACCACTACCTGGATGTCATTCTACTTGGAAAAGATGGTTCATGGACAGGTTGTTGGCTAAATGAAAGATTTTTTAAAAGAGACTAAATCTGAGAATCTAACGCAGTCACTTTCATGGAATAAGAGATGAGGAATTTAACTGTAAGCCTTTGCTTTTCAGCCATCTTCTGTGGAAAGAGCAAAAGCAGAGGAGTTCTGGCCTTACGCTGCCACTTAACTGGCCGTTGTTAGCAGGATCTATAAGTGCCATGTAAACTGTGAACCGAATGCAAAATGATAAACCAGTTTTCATATCCAAAGTAGTTGTATAAGGGAGAGAGAAAGGGACAGTAGCAGGCAGAACACAATGTGACAAATGCCTAGTAGCATAAAGTGCTGTGGAGTCTCAGAGGAAGAATGACTGCTGCTGGAGGTGTTGTGGAGGACTTCAGAATTGTCATTTGAATAGGATCTTGAAAGATGAGTAGGTGTTGAGCAGTTTAATTTTGAAGACACCGGAGAGTCACAGAGGAAGAAAAATGATGATGTGAAAAATGCAGAATGAGAGTGTTTCAGCAGGGTCTTAGGATCAAGAATGAGGAGGAATGAGGGTCAAAAACAAGTTCTTTGAATTGCTGGAAATTGTATTCATCGACTGAATGAATATTTGAGACTCGACTGAACATCCAGTGATACCTTATAGGTCATTGGTGATCTTTTTGAGAGTAGCTGATATTTGAGGAAACAAATTAACTATAATCTGCCAAGATTTGAAAATGGATAATAGATGAGAAAATAAAATCACCAAGAATAGATTACTTTTTTTTTTAAGTTTATTTATTTATTTTGAGAGGGAGAGTGTGAGCAGAGGAAGGGCAGAATGAGAGAATCCTAAGCAGGTTTTGTGCTGTCAGCACA